TACCCACGCTGGAGTGTAGTGGCACAGTCGTAGTGACTGTAACCTCAAACTCATGGCACAAGTGATCCTCCTGCCTCGGCCTCCTGAGTACTATAGATGTGAGCCATGGTGCTCAGCCTTCATGATAGATCTTGATATCTGGTTGAGCAAGTTCTGAAAGGGCGGCACGTGACCAGCAGAGATCTCACAGACCACTAAGACTTGTAGGAAAGAAAGGTCTTTATTGGCGAGGGATGCTGCCGAGGGGCACAAAGGAGGAGGGAAAAGAGAAGAGAGAGACTAAAAGAAAAGCGCACCCTCATATAGGTTCAGCTAGGGGAAGTCTCAGCATGGTGACGGGATGGTAGAATAGCCAATGAGGAGTTACTGCTCTGGCAGGAAGAGCCATTAGGGGCAGGCCGTAAGTTTGAAATGTTCAGCGGGTAATTAGGACAGGGAGATGAGGCAAGTTTTGCGACTGGGCAATAAGCAGGCAACTCCCTGTGCTTGGAAAGCTGTAACTTTTAAGAGTTGAGACAGCTAGTCTTGGTCTGTTGAAAGCAGGAAGGGGTTTTCTGGGGAAGGGGCTTTTCTGGGGCAAGTACCTAACAAGTTCCCAATCCTGTCTTGTCAAAACTTTCTTTTCTAAAATTTATTTTATTATTTTTTTTATTGTTTGGGATGCATTGAGGGTACAAAGAATTAGGCGACACTGACTTTTTTTTTTTTTGAAACAGTCTTACTCTGTCTCCAGGGCAGATAGAGGGGCATCAGCCTAACTCACAGCAACCTCAAACTCTTGGGCTCAAGCGATCCTCTTGCCTGAGGTTTTCTAATTTGAGTAGAGATGGGGTCTCGCTTTTGCTCAGCAATCCACCCCCCTCAGCCTCCCAGCGTGCTAGGATTATAGGCATGAGCCACTGCACCCGGCCCCTTTGCTCTTTCTTATGAATTTTAGAAACAGTTCATTAGGTTTCACAAGAAATACACGCGGATTTGTTTTGAATGTACTCTTGATTTGAGAGTTGCCATCTTTGTGATGTCGATGTTTCCCTCACATGCAGGAGCCCTGTCTCTCCTACCTCAGGACTTTTGCATGTGACTCTGCTTGCACCACTCTCACCCAACTCTCTAGTCAATTCCCTCTTCTGGGTTCAGTCTTCCCATCACCAAGACCCTCGGCACCCTGTATGTCTCCCTCAGAACCCCATCACGACTGCCCTGAAATAATCGACCTTTGGTTTGCTACTGCTTCCTACTATGCTGCAAACACCTCCAGGGCTCTGATGTTTGGTGTCCTTAGCTGTAGGACACAGGCTGACAATAAATGTTGCAAGAAAGGAAGAGATGCAAAAGTAAGGTGTTCTGCCCGGGGCATCTGACCACATCCAGAGGGATGGCAAATAAAGTTATGTAACTTCTTCCCTGTGCCTCTACTTTTTCTTCTGGAAAAAAGAGATTAGTATCTACCTCACAGGGGCTGAGGAGGAAGTGTGTTTATGTAAGTAAAAAGTACCTGAAGCAAATCCTGCCGCTAAGGGTTCACCTGACCCACACCTCTCCATGCATTATTTAGCCTGGCATACCTGTAATGCTCTGATGGCTCCAAAGCCCTCATTTTGATAATACTTTTTTGAACTAGTCATTTTACCTCCATTTTGCATGTGAGGCAAATGAGTCTCAGAGAAGAATGACTCAGCTAAGGCCTTACATCTAGAACTTTAACCCCCAAACCCAACGCATGTAATCTTTAAAGTGTTTCCTGCTCAAACGTTCAGTCAGCAGAATAGCTCCTTTGACTTGGACAACTAGATGGCTTTGCTCAGAAGTGGGAAGAAGAAAATCTAACAGACCCACAGTGTCAACTTACATTACTTTTTTTATTTTTACTGAAAAGGGCAGGTGTAAACTTAAGATTAAGCCTGAACTTTTCATGCTCATAGCTCTACAAACCATGAAACCCAAACAAATCTTTACGCTAAATGCAAACACAACCACCACGAAACCAATAAAATAATTCAAATTAATAACATGAAGTCAAGAGACAGATTAAACCTCATTAACTTTGGGTTTCATCACAGCAGAGCAGTGTTAGGGGTGTTTTCTGCTTCCTGTGTGTCATTGTCTCCCCCCCCCCTTTCCCTTTATATGGTCTACGGAGGTAAATCATCTTTTTTTGACTTTGGGTATGATAGGTCATCATTTGAGCTACTGTCATAGTCACTATCACTGTTTACTTTTAAAAAGTTAAAAACATTGGGCTGGGGGCAGTGTCTCACACCTGTAATCCTAGCACTCTGGGAGCCCAAGGCAGGTGGATTCCCTGAGCTCACAAATTTGAGACCAGCCTGAGCTACAGCAAGACCACATCTCTAAAAATAGCCAGGCATTGTGGTAGGCTCCTGTAGTCCCAGCTACTTGGGAGACTGAGGCAAGAGAATGGCTTGAGCCCAAGAGTTTGAGGTTGCTCTGAGCTATGATGCCACAGCACTCTACTGAGGGTGACAGTGAGACTGTGTCTCAAAAAAAAAAAAAAAAAAGGAAAAAAGATTATAATCCAGTTTGATGGGCTGAGCAATTTAAACAATGCTTTCTCATTCTTGTCATGCAATAGTGACAAGTGGGAAGTAGTGCGCTTAGCCTAATGTCACTCTCTGCATATTTGCTGTGATGCTCACTACTAATCAACTACTGCAAGTGTGGTCCCAGAAGACAATAATGGGCCAATTTATCCTCTAGCAAAGAGCCCATTGTGGTTGAGTGCCTCAGAGAGGGGCTGATGATTCATGATTCATTCTCACCACCTTACTCCTTCCCCTGGACTCACCAGGAAACTCCCTTCTCCCAAATTCTGTGCTGTGACCTGGCTCACCCATAGGTGTCCTTCCAGTATTAAATCAAGCCTCTGTTACTTTCTCATTAGCATGAGACAATTAAAGTTATAATCATGCCAGTGCTCTGGGCCACTTTTCTGAAGTCAAATTACAGTTCCAATATATTCAATTATTTAAAAAGTTAATTTTTTAGTCTATGAAAATGACACTCTATGGCAGCAAAGGATCCTGGCAAAAGGCAGTTTTGACTTTTCCAGTGTAAAGTAGATCTTTAGGAGCCAGAGAATGAGATAATAATCCAAACTGGATTGTAATCTTTTTTTTGTTACCTCTTGGTAACAAACTCAGGGCCTCAGGAGATGCAGCTCATCAGAAGTGAATTAGGGCACAGAAGCCCAAATACTGAAATAGAATTTGTGGGGGTTCCCTCCTAATTATTCTAGCAGAGAATTGTCAGACAGCCGAGGGGCTGTGCGTAGCCCCACTTGAGAAACTCGGTGAACCGAGCAGGGCAGGCTCCACGTGCCTGTGCGAGCGGTCGGATGAACAGTCCCTCACTTCCGGAGCTTGGGACCTGGGGGCCTTTGGCAAGAGCGACTGGAGCCTGCTGGCCTGTCGTTGTCTGTATTTGAGCTCTTCCTTCGCCGGAAACAAAGGTGCAGCAGACCTCCCAGGCTCTCAGCGGCCCCAGGGCTGGGCCATGCGCCAGGGCTCCGAGGTACTCCTTGCAGCCCAGGGTGACAGACTCCAGCCAGCCCTTCAAGGCCCCTATCTCTCCTCCACCCCCACCACGTGCAGGCCGGAGAAGGCAAAAGAGGCCCAGCATCCAGGGATTTTCTTTTCTTTTCTTTCTCTTTTTTGCTGGTTTCAGGCTTTTTTCTGCTTGAGTGAAAATGAAACAAATACCCCCTCCTGCGACACACGCACTCTCACTCACGCACCGCGCGGCCGGCCTCCCAGCTGTGTCCGGGGCGGGGACCGGCTCGGCACCGACCGCCAGCGGCCGGCCGAGCGGGGAGCGCGCCTCCCGCTGTCCAGCGCTCGCCGGTTCCCTCGCACCCCCGCGCGCTGCCTGCGGCCCCCGGGCGGGAGGTAGCGGGCACACCCCGCTCCGGCACGCCCCGCCCGGTCTGGCCCCGGCGGAGGCAGTACAGCGGCGGTTCGCGCAGCTGAAGGCGCCGCTGGGGCCCGGAGTGAGGCGCGGTCCTGCCCCGGCGCCGCTGGCCGCGCGCTTGCCCTCCGCGCCCGCGTCCTGCGGATCAGGTGGGTCTCGCGGGGCGCCGGCCGAGCCCCCCTCCCGAGGTCCCGAACCAGGTTGGGGGGCGATGGGGCTGGGTGCTCCGCGCAGGGGCGGGGATGGCTGGGGGACTGGGCGGGCCCCTGCTCCGGCCCAGCCCTGTTTCTGCCCGCCTGTGTCACTGCTTTTGTTCTTGTCACCACCTCTGTACCCAGATCTGACCCTGTCCGTATCCCCCTCTGGTGCCAGTCGCTGCCTCTGTCCAGCCTTCCAGACTACAGCCCGAGAGTCTGTAAGCCCAGGTCCCCCAACAGGGTTCTCAAAGGCGGTAGTGTCAGGAGAAGGTAGACTCAGGGGGCGACCAAGCGAATCTCGAAAGGAGTGAGGGGTTTGTCCCCGTCTATGAGAAAGGACCGAGGGATGGCTCTTGCCCAGGACGGAGTGGAAAAGGGGTTCCTCTGGGAATGAAGAGCGAGGGAAGGGTGAAGTTAGGGCGCAGGAACCCTGGGGAGCGGGCATGAGAGGAAGATGTTCCAAAGTCCAAGACCAAGCCAGAAAACCAGCGCGGGGAAAGTTTCAGACACTAACTTTGGCAGCCGACTTGCATTGGGGTGACAGGAGGCAAAGGATTCCTTCGACTCTTCAAGCCACCTCGTCTCTGCCTGAGAGGGACACCACCCACATTTGAAACTGGCACAGCGCAACAGAATGATTGCACAAACTCCTGAACAGCGTCCAAGAAACAATAAAGGGGGAAAAAATGTCAGCGAGAATGGAGAGAAAGCAGAGACCGAGTCCCCATCTTCCCTCCGGGGCGGGCTGGCGGGAGGGAGGGAGGGAGGGGCGCGCCGCTCCTCCCCCCAGGAAGGAACCGAGACCCAGGCGGCTGTTTCTGTGGCTTTGCTCGTAGTCTGCACTCCTCCTGGCTCCGGAGGAGCAGGCCTCGCTGCCTCCCCCATTTACCTGGGAGTAGGTGTGTCCCCGGAGGCAGGAGATGCAGGGTGGAGCCTTGGCGTGGCCGCTTCCCAGCTAGGAGACACTTTCCCAGGCCGAGCTTCAGTTTTCTCCAGGGCTGTGAAGAAAGGATGCTGCAAGAGACCTGCTTCCAGGCTCTCAGTAAGAAAAGGCAAAGTGCTCTGCGAATGCTGCGGGCTCTGGGGGCTGGGCTGTCGAGGATATATATGGCGATGCCGTTGTGCTTCTGTGCTTCTTTGGCTACACTAAGCACTTTCTACTCTGGAGTTATTTCTAGGTGCACCTGGGGCCCCCTGCCAGATGCGGGGCAGGGTGCAGATCTGCGTTCTGTCTGTTGCCAGTAACAGGTGCTCAATGAACTGAATAAGGTAGAGGTCAGAGTCCCTAGGGATTACTTGACCCGGTGATTTCAGACTGGGCTGGAGGCCTATTATCTAGGCTCAAGGGCCGTCGTGATGGGGGAGGATCGGGCCCCTCCTCTACCTTATTTCAGAAAGAACCAGTTCAGTTCTTCCTTTATCTCTACCTATTGGGAAACCCCAGAGGGGTTTTTTATATATATATCAGATTCCTCAGATCCAGCCTGATCTGGTTATTTTCGGTGGACTAGCTGAGGCTGAGAGAGATACAAAGTGACTTGGGCAAGGTCATCTGGAAAGCTGCCTCCTCCTAAGTCACACAGGTGAGGAGTGGCCTTTCTCTGGCCATGGTGGCTGTGAGCCGCCATTTCACCAGCTCTGAGCACCCAGCTCACCTACACCTACTCTTCTGGGAGAAGCAGCCTGTGAGTAATCCTCTGAGCACTTTCAGGCCTTTCAGTGGGACAGTGATGTGACAGAGTTTTACTAGTTGAGGTCAAAAAGAACTAGGTTCCCCACCCTGCCAGGTAGGCTATGGATCACTAACCCATTTTACAGCTAAGAAAATGAAAGCTCAGGCTAAGCGCCCATAGCACAGTGGTTACCACGCCAGCCACATGCACCAAGGCTGGTGGGTTGGAGCCTGGCCCAGGCCAGCTAAACAACAATGACAACTGCAACAAGAAAATAGCCAGGCATTGTGGTGGGGGCCTGTAGTTCAGTTACTTGGGAGGCTGAGATAAGAGAATTGCTTGAGCCCCAGAGTTTGAGGTTGCTGTGAGCTGTGGCACCACAACATTCTACCGAAGACTCTGTCTCAAAAAAGAAAAAAAAAAAGAAAAGAAATGAAAGCTCAGAGAGGTCGAGTAACTCACTCATCAACACTCAGTTATTAAATGGCAACTCAGAATTAAATGCGGTTCTTTCTGGCTCTAAAGCTTGTGCTCTTTCTGTTACATTATCTCTCACCATGATGGACATGTCATGGACAAATGTCATGTTATGGAGACCCGGGCAGAGGTGACAGGAAAGTGGCTGATACAGGGTGGCATTAAGTAGAGGGCTGAGCATTTGAATAGATTCATTCATAATATAAATACAATTTTATTTGAAATGAGTGTGGTTTCTGCCCCATACATTCTATTTTAGGTTTGTTTTGTAGACATCTATAAATTATTTTATTCTTCTAATTTTTAATTAAAGTACAATTTTTGTACAATACAATCCTAAAACCTTAAGTGTTTGGTTCAATGAGTTTTTACAGTTGTTTATACGTTTGTAACCACCACCACCACCACCCAAATGCACCAGAAAATGTTTGCATAACCTGAGGAAGTTCCCATTTCCGATTAATTTTCCCTCCAGGCCTCCAGGCAACCATTATCTTATTGTATCATCACTGATTAATTTTGTCTGTTTATACACTTTATGTGAATGGAATCATACTGTATGTGTTCTTTCATGCCTGGCTTGTTTCCACGAAATGGTTTTGAGATTCATTTGTGTCATTCTGGATATGAGTAATCTGTTCTTTGTTATTGCTGAGTCGCATTCCATTGCATGGATATACCACAATTTGTCTCTTCTCTTGTTTTGGGTTATTTCCTGCTGTGGGCTATTATGTGAACATCCTTGTATAAGTCTTTTTGTGAACATTTGTTTCTACCTAGGAGTGAAATTGCTAGGTTGGAAGTTTACACTCCCACAGCAATGTATGAGAATTAGGATTATTCCACTTCCTTGACAATATTTGGTATTGTCAGTCTTTTTGATTTTAGCCATTGCAGTGGTACCTTATTGTGATTTTTACTTTCTATTTTTTAATGATTGAATTTTTTTTTTTTTTTTTGAGACAGAGTTTCACTCTGTTGCCCACGCTAGAGCTTCATAGCATTAGCCTAGCTCTCAGCAACCTCTGGGACTTAAGCACTCCTCTTTTCTCAGCCTCCTTAGTAGCTGGGACTATAGGCACCTGCCACAATGTCTGGCTAATTTTTCTTTTTCTTTTTTTTTTTTTTTTTGGACATAGAGCTTCAAGCTATCCCCCTGGGTAGAGTGCCATGGCATCACAGCTCACAGCAACCTCCAACTCCTGGGCTCAAGCGAGTCTCCTGCCTCAGCCTCCCAAGTAGCTGGGACCACAGGCGCCAAGCCAATTTTTCTGTTTTTATTAGAGATGAATCTTACTCTTGCTCAGGCTGGTCTTGAACTCCTGAGCTCAAGGGCACCTCCTGCCTTGGCCTCCCAGAGTGCTAGGATTACAGTTAGCCACCTTACCTGATCTATATTTGAATATTAAGAGTTTTTTGAAAAGACAACATGAGTGGGGACAATATGAAATACGTCGGTAATGTGGAGATCACCATGGGCCATGACTTGGGAAAGAAAGAACCAAATGGTGGTTGTAATATTGAAATTAAGAATAGGGGGTTTTGAGCTTAAGAGCGCTTTCTGTAGACCACCCAAGATTTAAAGACCTGGGACTTGAGACCAGGCACAGTGGCTCATGCCTATAATCCTAGCACTCTGGGAGGCTGAGGTGGGTGTATTGCTTGAGCTCAGGAGTTCAAGACCAGCCTGAGCAAGAGTGAAACCTTGTCTCTGAAAAACAGCTGAGTGTCATGGCAGACACCTGTAGTCCCAGCTACTAGGGGAACTGAGGCAAAAGAGAATCACTTGAGCCCACATTCTACTGAGGGTGACAAAGTGAGATTCTGTCTCAAAAAAAAAAAGACCTGGGGTTGTATTCTACATGCTGGGCAAATCCATTCGTGTTCATGGCTTTAAAATGCCACTTCTATACCATTCTCCAATTCTGAGCTCCAAACCCTGTCTAACTGCCCACAGGGCATCTCTTTTTGGATATCTCAAAGGCACCCCAAACTCAATGGCTCCGGGTTAGAATTATCTCATGGTGGCTTTCTGTCATGGGTCAACAAATTAAAGATGGTTCCACTAGCTGAATAAGGAAAGAGGAATGTTTGGGATGGGAGATAGCTGCATTGGGCAATTAGGAGATTACCGAAATATAATGAGAGCAGTTTTGGGGGAGTGGAGGCTAGCAAGCTAGATTCCCAGTGGATGAGGGGGAGACATAGGCACAGTGAGTAAAGTCAAGTCTTTAGGAAGTTTCTTTGAGAAGGTTGGGAGAGAGATTGAATTATAGCTATAGGGAGACAAGATGAAGGAAGGAATTTTGGGAAGAAAAAGACTAATGAGGTATAGGATTGGGGGAACGATTCAGTCCAGGAGAATAAAAGAGTAGTAGATGGAACAAGTTATTAGGAGAAACAGGAGGCAATGAGGAGGGATGACTTTGAAAGATGAATCTATCTACCTTGGCCATAGAATGTGCGTGGTTGAAAATGAGAAGATTCCTCAATTTAGACAATCCCTATTGATTCCACATTGCTCATAGCTCCTTATCATGGCATGAAGGTTCTTCACAATCCACATTTCTCATGTCACAATGTGCATCTGCTAGCTTTTGCTGCATAACGGACAACACACAAATCTTAGCTTTTGATCACAAAGGTCTATTTATTGTTCACATAACATGCTACAGGGCAGTTGCGGCTGCATGGTTTTCTGGTGCTGCTCTAGGTGCCAGCCAGATTTCTCTAGTGTCTTCTCATTCCTGGACCCAAGCTACTTCTATCTGGTATATGTTACTGTCATGGCCAAAGCTGGAGCAAGAAAAAGATGGCATGATGACTCTTAAAGCCTCTGCTCTGAACTGGCACACTGACACTTCACTTGCTTTCCACATTCAGTCATATGATCAAGTTCAAAGTTAACCAAGCTGAGATATAGACTACCTATTGGCAGTGTATTGGATACTTTGGAACAATAGTCCAAATGACCATATATATTTGTTAATAACTCCATGACGCACATCTCAACTAATTCTCATCTCTTGGGTACAGTTGCTCAAACATGGCAATGCCCTTCTAGTCTCTCTACCATTGTATTTGTGGTTCCTCTGTCTAAGAGTTGTCTCCCACCCCTCCCCCACCATCAAATCCATGACCTGGTGTGGTTGATCCTACCTCTCTACCAGCTTCCCCAGTAGTCCCAATTCTGACCCACTGTCCCTGCTTAGCTCCGGTGTGCCCCTCTAGCCTGGCCCCCAGCTATTACACCCTCCCTGGTGTCTGCTCCAATCTCATTCTTTCCTATGCATTCTGTCCCTGTAGCTAAAGTCTTCTTTCCTAGACACCAAAGTGATTGGGTTTTTTGATCACTCTTAGGCTTTCCACTGACTTCAGGATAAAGCACATGGTCCTTTACATGATAGCCAAGGTCCTGCCAGAGCTGCTTTCTAACTCTTGACAATGTCTCTTCACCCCCACTCACCCTTTTCAGAACCTCCGTTCCAGACTCAGGTAACTACTTCAAGTCCTGAAACTCCTAGTTTTATGCCTGGAGCTGTTTCCCTTGCTGAGCTCTCTGCTCAGAATGTCCTTCCCACTCCCTCCCAAATCTACCTGCAGATCCCTTCTCATCCTTCAAGACAGCCCTCTCTGTGTCTACCTCTGAGGAATCAGACACTCACTGCCCCCTCACCACACCCTGCAGCTACCTTCTACCACTTTGTTTCTTCCTTCCTCCATTGTGAGCTTCTGGAGCCAGTAAAGCACAGCACACTGTCCTCAGGGCCATGGCCATAGCGCTCTTTCCTTGGCACACCCTGGAAGTTCAGTGTGGCCTCTGGAGGCCTCTGCCTCAGTCTGCATTCTCAACAGCACTCAAAAAGTCTGCTGACAGAGCTTCATTTTTGCT